TTTATTTTTAATTTAAATTGTGGTTTTATTGGTTTTTATGTATTTTACTTTTATGTATTTTATTATGTATGCCACCCAGAGTCACTGTGTAAGATGGGCGGCTATACAAATATGATACATAAATAAAATAAATAAATAAGTCCAGATAAGGTCAGCCAGCATTGCCATTTTTAGTAAGGAGCTTTTAATACATTGACTGATGGAGGCTATATCCTTTCCAGATTGTACCTTCCTGTGAATTTTTGTTCCCCTCTTTAAGAATTTCACATCTCCAAGAAGACTTTACTAGTGCAGGTAGTTCCCAGTTTTAGAACGAGTTCCATTCCCATGGTCTGTCCTTAAGTCGAATTTGTATGTAAGCTGGAACTGTATTATTGTATAATACTGTATAAGTAGTATTGTGTAATTAACTCGAACCATTATGTATTTAACTCAAATCATTGTGTATTTAGCTCAAATTTTGCTACAATAGGCTCCATTCTTAACTATGGTCATCTGTAACCCAGGTGCTCTTAACCCAGGAATTACCTGTAATTTGGAACTGTTGCATTATGGGAATATCTTTCCTCTAGTGTAGCAAAATAAATCAACTTCTCTTCCAACTTTGTTGCACTCTACGAAACTTTATTCAGTAAAGCAAGTCAAAATGTGGCATTGAGTATTTGTTGTGCCCTGTAACCATAGCACTGCATGGTGGTCATCTCTAATTTATAACCACATACTCTTTTCTCTTCTTTGCTATGTCATGGTTCATCTGCTTATAGAAGCACAGCCTGGATATTTTATTGGGTCAAAGTCAGGAATAGTTTAATGGCTACTTATTTTAATTGACTCTCCAGTTGAAAAACATGTTTCATTGGGGTATATAAATCTTTATTTCAACTCAGATTGATGGAGTTTGATAAAGTGTTTGTTGCCATGCGTGTTCATAAACTGAACAATCTATTTTAACAGCCCTTTTAGTAGGTCTGCCACTCTCAAAATTAAATTCTAAATTTAACTCTGGAATATGCAGAGCTTTGTTTTACTGTTAAGTCCTTGCTAAGCAGGAAATACCTGAGGGCAGTTAAGCTGTTGACCAAAAAGAAAAAAGAAAATTCTTTCATTTACCATGAATGGTATGCAGCACACTGAAGGAAATCACTTCAGACTAAAGTCAAAAATAGCTGGAGTTAAGAGTTTGCTTTGGGATGCATTCATGCTGCATGGGTGGAAAATCAATAAGTTGATGAGAAGACTGCTAATTTTGTGCAGATGTGCCAAAAGACCAGCGTCTCCAGGCAATCAAGGCAGCCATTATGCTTCTACCAGATGAGAACAGAGAAGTCCTACAGATTCTTCTCTATTTTCTGAGTGATGTCACAGCTGCTGTGAAAGAAAACCAGATGACGCCAACAAACCTGGCAGTGTGTTTAGCACCTTCTCTTTTCCACCTGAACACTCTTAAAAGAGAAAGTTCTTCTCCAAGGTAAGTCTCCATATTGTTCTATCCTAAGTTCTATCACTAGCAGGTTGCTATACCTTTAAAGAAGCCTTTCCTTTCAACTCTTTTAATTCTGTCCCTCTTTTTTAAAAAAAAGAAAAAAAAAAGCATTAATGTTTCCACTGAACTGCTTTGTATTTGATTTGCTATCCAGTAAAAAAAAAGTGCTAGCAATTATAAGATACTGATTTTATTTATGTAGAGATATGATTTATAAACCACCTCATTTCAAAGACTGGGTGTTTTATGTCGTCATGCACATGTCGTCTTTTAGTTCTACTGCCAAAGAAAAGTACTCAACATATATATGTGAAAGCTCTAATACCATCCATGTCAAGGAGAGATCCATGAGAGAAGCTGAAAATAAATACATTTAGATGCAGAATGTCAGATATAAAAGTAGCTTTCAGATGCAGTCCTGACCTTTTTCTTCAATTGTTCATTTACAGGCTAGTGCATTCTGGTCTACTTTTATTGATCAGTCTTGTTCATTAATTGATAGGGTAATGCAGAGGAAACAGAGTCTGGGAAAACCGGATCAGAAAGACTTAAATGAGAATTTGGCTGCAACCCAAGGCCTAGGCCACATGATTGCTGAGTGTAAGAAGCTTTTTCAGGTGAATATTTGTCTATTTGCTTATTTTAACATCTAGAACTAGTATTCTGTACAGGTTGTATCTTTGTTCTTGACACCTAATGTCCTGTTTGGCAGCTAGTCTTTCTGGAAAGCAACATAAGGGCTTACAATGGGCAACCATCAAAATCTGCCTTGCTCCCAGTTAAAAGTCCTTTGTGACTTCTAGCTTTTTGTGTGAGTGTGTGTGTGTGTGATGGAAGAACTACATAATACTTCTGAGGAGATTAGATACAGTCCAGTTGCTATCCCTAATATGCTGCAATTTTATTTACAGCCATTTTCAGAACAAAGGAAATAAAGCAAAATGTTGACTCATCATGTGAACCTCCAATTGTTTATTCCCTGTTTTATTCCATTTCCCAAATCTCAGATCCCAGAAGAAATGAGCAGATGTCGGAATTCTTATACAGAACAAGATCTTAGGCCTCTCAGCTTAGAGGACTTGGGACGAAGCAACAACTCAGAGTCTGCTGAATATCATTCTTATATCCAGGACTGTATGGATGATTTGTTCAAGGAAATCAAGGATAAATTTAAGGGCTGGGTCAGTTGTCCCACTTCAGAACAAGCAGAACTCGCCTATAAAAAGGTATGTTAGCATATATCCAGGGTTGTTATTACTTTCTAGTGTTAGTGCATAGATTTTAATGGACAAAATTTAATTTAAATGGTCAATATTCCTTCAGTGTCATGCATTGGCTTTCTGTAACCTTATATACTATATAGATGCTTGTATAGTGCACATATCCTAAGACATGACATGTTGATTGAAGGCCTTTCTATCATCCTTCATTATAAGAACTGAATGAAAAATGGAGGGTGGTTTATGTTGTAACAGATTCTAAAATTTTGATTTGGGGTTGTCATGAGTCAACCCATGACTTAAACATTACATATATAAAGTAATCCACAAATATGTTAATGATTCTCCCAAGATTGCTAAATAAGGTTGTTGTCGGTATCATTTTATTGCATTAGGTTCTCTGACAAGCTGGCTGACCAAAGATTTTCATTGTGATATGGGACAGTCATAAGTGTTTTGATCTTTTATTTTGAAGTCAATATAGTTCCATTTTCAATGTAGTCTATAATGATTATTCAAAAAAAGGACGGTTGTATAAAGATGATTAATTCCTTAGCAACAATGTACTTCCAGGTTTGTGAAGGTCCACCTCTGCGGCTATGGAAATCCGTTATAGAAATCCCTGTGGCTCCTGAAGAAGTATTAAACCGTATCATTAAAGAACAGCACCTTTGGGATGAAGATCTTTTAGATGCTAAAGTAATTGAGACTTTGGATAGCCAGACTGATGTTTATCAGTTTGTACAAAATAATATGGCACCACACCCAGCAAGAGACTATGTCATCCTCAGGTAACTGTACAGATTGTATCCATAAAACACTTTCTTAAAATTTAGCAACTGGGAATAAAAACACATTTGGATAAACTTGCTCATCTTCCTTTTACTCTTGTCTGTTCTTACAAAAGTTCTGCTTGATTCTAACAGGACTTGGAGGACCAATCTCTCTAAGGGAGCATGTGCACTTTTAAGCTTCTCTGTGGACCATGACCGTGCACCTGTCCTTGGTATTAGAGTGAATGTGCTGTTATCCAGGTATCTTATTGAACCTTGCGGAACAGGAAAATCCAAACTAACCTATATGTGTCGAATTGATTTAAGGTAAATTATGTTCTCTACTTTCATTAAGTTGGGCAGGGAAATTCCATCTCCAGTATAATGTGTTAGTGGAATGAAAAGTTACAGTGCCCAGAGGTAGTTATTGTATATTGTAGGACAGTATAAGCAATGGTGCCCTCCAGATATCTTAGACTTCAGCTCATAATCCTCTAGCATGGTCATTGGCAAGGGATTGTGTAAATTAAAGCTCCCAAACATCTGAAGTGCACTCATTTGCCCACTCTGTGGTAGAAAGGTCAATTAAAACTAATTTGAATCAGTTACTTTTAATTTAGAGTACCGATGGGCATTGTTCACTTATTGATACTAATGGTCCCAAATTAATTTCCCTTACCCCCTGACTTTACATTTATTCTTTTAGAATTTGTGAATGAAAGAAACTGGTACCTTGTGTTTGTTTAGAGAACAGAAATCATGCTTCTGTTTTTGGAGAATGCATTTGGGGCCAGAGACAGCCCGGAGATTGTTTTGTAAGCGTTCCTTTAGCAAGGGTGGTAGACTTCTTGGGAACAAAAGCAGATGGAAAGGTGCAACCTTGCCTGTTGCCTTCTGTATTTGCAATTAGTTGTGTTTACCTGCTTACCACAGCAGCCATTTTGCATGAGTGCCCACAACATGCTTTCAAATCAGCCCAGAAAGTTTGCTTACCAAAAGATGGTTTAATTGGTTTTTGCAAATCCTGCTTCCCAATGTCTGGAAAGGTCTTTGAGATCCTAAATGGAGATTTTGCGGGGGAATGTACACAATCCTAAAAGGCCATCATTCTTGGCTTCCTTGATTGCCTCCCTTCCAGTCTTTAGTAACAGAAAAAAACACATTAATTGGAGAAAAACAATCTAAATCACACCTTTTCTTTCTTTGAAACAGGGGGCACAAGCCTGACTGGTACACAAAAGCTTTTGGGCACTTGTGTGCAGCTGAAGTTGTGAGGATTAGAGACTCTTTCCTTAATCAAAATCTTGAGGCTAAGGAAGCAACATCCAGGTGATGGATCAAGTGGATCAGCGCAGCACCAGCCTATGTAGAGGTTTTCAGGAAAGGTTGATTTTCTGCCCCAGGATGGGTCATATACCCATTAAGTTTTGTCCTGAAGAGAAACTTTCTGGAATAGGTCTGAGATTGTCCATCAAAATTCTGTGACAACCTGATGCATTTTTAAAGCTGCTTTTGTGCCTGCGTTAGGCCTATAGTGTAGGTCTTAACTGGAATATTATGGATGGTGCAACTTTTTTTTTTTTAAGGTAAGATTAATGTTGCTTAGGTGCTGTGAATTGCTTCTGAGAAGCAAAGCTCTAAGACTTAAATATATTTCTGGAATATAGTGAAAATGATTCATTCCTATATAATGTTAACTTTATGTATGTATCTGTGTGTCATTTGCTGAGGGACTGTTGCAGCCACTGGATTTGGTATGTCCCTCAATGGATTCTCACTAAAGTAAGTGAAGGAAGGTTTGCACGAAGGCAGAGATGTGAATGACTAACTTGTTGACTGGAGTATGAAGAGCCAGAATGGTAGAATCAGAGTGTCAGGTACACTTGGAAGGAATTGGGAAGAATGTAACACGTGGGAAAAGAATCAGCCTAGAATCCTATTGGTCCAAGAGACCATTACAAGCTTCAGGTCTTCACTCCTATGAGTTGTTATTACTCATATGTATATCTAAAAATTGAAAAATGTGGGCTGTATCAGGCAGGGCAAAAAAAATGGTGAAAAGCAGAACGCTTGAAATTGATGGGGGGGGGGTTAAGTTATTTAAATTGCCAAATACACTTCAACGTGTGTCTTTCGTATGACAGTAATTTTGCATGTGTTCCTCTATGAAAGCTCCGAGAACTACAACTTTTCATAGCTTCCTTATGAGGATACCTATAGGGGCACGTGCTTGCCATGGCTGGACTTCATATTATACTTTCTGAACAATAAGTTCAAGAGCATCTCAAAAAAATGTGAATGAAGTGCCAGCCCCAGGAAGTCTCTCCAAGTCTGAGTATCTTGGAAAGAACAAGGCAATGATCCTGATATATAGGATTCCAAGGGAAGAGATGATTTGGAGTGTGTATGGGCACTCATGTAGCACCTAATCTTTAAAGAAGCTGTGTTTTTTTCTTGGATGCACTTGGTTGTCCACAGCTGCAGCAGAAGTCCAAGAAAAGTCACCTTTGGTTTCAGGCAGTGCCAGTGCTTCATGTGTACCGACATGGTCCCCAAATCCCTTTTCCTATACCCTATCCTTTTAATACACACTCACCTGTTAAGATGCAAATAGAAGCCTTAACAGTCATCTTTGTTTAATTAGTATCATAGGAATAAATGCTTGTAGTTTGGGAACAGGGCCGAAACTGCTTTCAGTAGCTGAAAAGGGCAGCACTGGAAAATGTCATAACTGGAACATTATGAAGTTCTAAAGTGATTCAGTAATAGTGGATACTCTTAGGAGTTAAAGATGTTCATATATCCCATTCCATTGTAACCATATAACCTCATTTACTGACATGGTTTGGAGGAAAATATCCCCCAAATTTAGAAGCAATGTAGTTGGTAATGTAATATTCTTGCCACAGGATTATATGACATAATGCAAAGAACTGCAGGTTAAAATAAACAGATTAAAATTATCAAGAGTTCTATTGTGAACTTTTTACAAGACATCCCAGAACTACAAGCTGGAGCAGCCAGGATAGCAATAATAAATGAAGATATCTAGGAAGATACATGTAGGATGTTGTTGTTTTACCTGTCTAAAAACTATAGATTAACTTATCTGGTGGATTTTGGGCGGGGGGATCTAATTATTATTTTGCATGTAATATTTGTCAACCTTTTCCACACATTTTCATATGCATTATATATTAGTAAGGAATCTTTTTAAAAACCTTTAGAGAATGACCTTGTTTCGGTGATAGATTTCACTGTAAAACAACAAAGGACAGAGAAGATAAATGCTGTCCTTCATTGGCTGTTGTGAAGAAGAGAAGAGAAAAGAAAAGCCCATGCCGTTAAATAACAGCGCTGTTTTGTAATTCAGGGCTGGACCTAGCCCAAAAGTAGGACTTCATCTCTTGCTGTGAATCTAGTCCCCGCCCCCACTTCCCAAATCTGCTGTGGTGCCCCATTATAAAAATTATAGTTTGATTGGCAGAGACACGGTTCATGCAGAGATGCACTGAATCAGTGTCAGGTGTGAATGATACGAAATAAAATGAAAGGTGTGCTTGAAATAAAGTCATTGTACAGATCCATTTGAATAATTTGTGACTGCTAAAACCAGCCTTTTAGCCTTCCTTTCTCCCAGCCACAATAGCCGTAAATTACTGCCAAGAGGTGTGTTGTAACCAAAGATTATGTGAAATTGGCAGTTGGTATATCTTGTTCATTCAGAAGAGACCTGTGCAATTTCCACATGGCCTTCTTTCCCAGCCTCGGGACAGTGGCATGTTTAGAAGGAACTCTTAGATGCCATTGACAGTATTATGTTTTTTATAGATTGTTTGAGATGACTTTGGAGAGTATTAGGAAGAGTTCTGCCTAATTCTGCAACTGTACTAGTGCCCCACTGGGTTGCTTGTGTCTCTATTTTTTCCTCTTTGTTCAAACTACAAGCAGTGTTATGTAGATGCAAAACTCAGGCTTACACAGATTCACAGAGAAGGACTATATGGTCGGTTAGGGTGCTTCCTTGAATCTGTTTCAGAAGACAGTGTCCTTCGTGATGTTCCTCTCATCGGGACATAAATGCTTCTCCGTTCACCCAGAAGTGAATACTTACAAGGGACACCACCACCCAGAATCAAACACAGACTGGTACCAACCGTTTCAGGTAAACTGGGGGCGGGGGGAGCGGGCCGAGGGGCAGGAGCTGTTCTAAGTCAAATGCTCCCATTAGCTGCTTTTCCCAGTGTCTTGTGCTTCAGATGTATGAAGCTTAACCTTAGACTGTAAGGCAGTCTTCCCTGATCTGATGCCCTTCAATTGCCCATTGTATCTGGAGGACAACAGGTGAATAAAGACAGCATTACTCTTAGCCTTAGAAACCCTGGCAATCATTCCACTGGTGTCATTGTAAAATGTATTGCCAGGTGAGGGTGTTAGGTATTGTGACATTTACATTTCT